AAAGAATAGCAGAAAGATGTTTACCTGTGTTTTATTGACTATGCAAAGGCATTTGACTGTGTGGATCATAACAAATTATGGATAACATTTGGAAGCATGGGAATTCCAGAACACTTAATTGTGCTTATGCAGAACCAAGAGGCAGTCATTCAGACAGAACAAGGGAATACTGCATGGTTTAAAGTCAAGAAAGGTGTGGGCCAGAGTTGTATCCTTTCACCATACTTAGTCTGTATGCTGAGCAACTAATCCGAGAAGCTGGACTATATGAAGAAGAATGGAGCATCAGGATTGGAGGAAGACTCATTAACAACCTGTGATATGCAGATGACACAACCTTGCTGAAAGTGAAGAAGAAACACTTTACTGATGAAGATCAAAGACTGTAGCCTTCAGTATGGATTACACCTCAACGTAAAACAAAACTCCTCACAACTGGACCCATAAGCAACATCATGATAAACGAAGAAAATACTGAAGTTGTCAAGGATTTCATTCTACTTGGATCCACAGTCAACGTCCATGGAAGCAGCACTCAATAAATCAAACGACACATTGCACTGGGCAAATCTGCTGCAAAAGACCTCTTTAAAGTGTTAAAAAGTAAAGATGTCACCTTGAAGATTAAGGTGCACCTGACCGAAGCCATGGTGTTTTCAGTTGCCTCGTGTGCATATGAAAGCTGGACAATGAATAAGGAAGACCAAAGAAGAATTGACGCCTTTGAATTATGGTGTTGGCAAAGAGCATTGAATATACCATGGACTGCCAGAAGAATGAATAAATCTGTTTTGGAAGAAGTACAGCCAAAATGCTCCTTAGAAGCAAGGATGGTGAGACTGCTCACATAGTTAGGCATGTCATCAGGAGGGATCAGTCCCTGGAGTAGGCCATCATACTTCTAAAAAAGAGGAAGACCCTTAATGAGATGGATTGACACAGTGGCTACAACAATGGGCTCAAGCATAACGACAATTGTGAGGATGACACAGGACCAGGCAGTTTTTCATTCTGTTGTGCATAGGGTCGCTATGAGGTGGAACTGACTCGACAGTACCTAACAACAATGCTCTTGATAATTGGTAAATCCAGTCTCGGTTACCTAAGGTACTGTTAATTTAGCTGCAGTACTTAGACTCTAACCTGTGGTGTGTGTGCGAAAGATGGCAGGTGGTAGTTGTAATCTGTGCATAGTCTCAACTTTGTAGACTTGGACGCATACCTACCACAAGCAGTGCAGTTCTCTCTCAGCATGCCAGAATAATGAATCACTAGACTGATCCCACTTTGTGAAGATTGCTAGATGCTGCTCTAGATTTCATAACTTTCCTCTACTTTCAATTAGATGTCCTCCCAAAGGGACAGTAGCAAAGAAACACAAGTAAACATTGTAATACATTGAAAGCCACAGGCAATAGCATTAATAGTATTGGCTATTTGTTATTATTAGGGTATTAAATATTATGGTATTAATTTACATGTGATCTTGAAGTTCACATACATCATGGCTTGTATTTAAAGCATAGAAAAGTAACATCTTCCTTATCACAGTGAGTACCCTATAAAAATTATTTCTAGCAAACATAGTCTAAGGTTTTATCCTGAATTGACTTGTTTAATTCTGAAAATGTAACCAGTCACCATGAATGTTATTGACATTAAAAATTGTTTTATTGGAATCTTGTTTAATTTTATTTTTTAGATTGTTTCTGAGGAAACAGTAGTGAAACACTGATTTTTAAGATTGGTTGAGGTCACTGTAGTTTTAAGCACTAAAACATTTCCCATAGTGAAAAAGCTGTTTGCCATGCCTTCTTGCCAGGGTATCTCTTCATAGACAAGGATCTTTGTTTTCATCAGCAATAACAAATCTGAACTCTGTGTAACTACTCTTTTAAGGCAGACTCTAGTCAGGGAGTTAGATGCTAGCTGTAAATATTTAGCCCATGATAGTGTCCTGTTTAACCTCTTGGTTGTCTTAACAGGCTCGTGAAGCTGTGGAAATGCGTGCCCAAGTAGAGAGAAAGATGGCTCAAAAAGAAAAGGAGAAACATGAAGAGAAACTTAGAGAAATGGCCCAGAAAGCCAGGGAGAGAAGAGCTGGGATCAAAACCCATGTGGAGAAAGGTTTGACATTCTCATTACTGAACTGAATTTCTTTTGTTAACAATATGTATCTCATTTTAGAACATCTCTATTGTTTTTTGCTGCATACGAAAATACTAGTAAGTGCATATAAGGAAAATTCAGATATTTCAGAAATAGTGTAGAAATTGAAACATCTGAGTAACCTCTGCTTTAGCTGAAGCAGCAGAAAATAGAGTATATACTTGCCTGTAGGCCTTCATTTTTTAATTATACTAGAACTTTTTTAAGTTCTGAGCAATATGCTTTTAAAAATCACATTATTAGTCAAATGATAGGTTTCCTTAGAAAGAGAACTATATCTCCAGTTGCATAATCCAATTCCCCCACATGATAAAATAGTCTAGAGTTTTTCTATTTTGTACATTAAGATATCTTTAATCATTAAATCTGCTAATATTTCCTCTCTAGCTTGATTTAGTAATTTACTATGTGGGTATTAATTCAATTAGAGTGGAAAGATAAATCCTAATTCTAGTTTAAGAAAATTTGTTAAAGTGGTTTTTGTTTCATTAAAAAAATCTTAGACTAATACAGTTATTTATTGTTTCATTTATTCAGTTCGTATGATGCACCTACTATGTGCACGGTTCTCTTCTAGCCACAAGGTTTTCTGCTAGACAGGAGTGGGGCCGGTGGTGGTGGTACACAGCAGTAAACATTCTAATAAGTGTAGACAGACCAAAAAAAAGTCGATTATTTAGTATATTAGAAAGTAATAATCACAGTGGGGAAAATAAAGCAGGGGAGGTGGATAAAAGTTCCAGAAGAAGAGGGTGGTCAGAATAAGTCTTACTGAGATGGTAATGTTAGCACAGAAACTTGAAGGAATTGAAGAAGTGACCATGTGGCCATCTGAGGGAAGAGCATCCCAGACAGAGGAACAGCAAATGCAAAGTACCTGAGTTGGGAGCATACCTGGTGTGTTCAGGGAAGAGCAGCAGGAAGGCCAGTGTGGCTGGAGTGGAGTGAGGAAGGAGGAGAATAATAGTAGGAGATGAGGTGTCAGAGTGGTAAGGGTGGGTGGCAGGAGTAGTGGCCATACCATGGGTAGCCAGTTAGCCATTGTAAGGACTTTGCTTTTACTCCCAAGTGACAAGGGAAACAATTGAAGGGTTTTGAGAAGAGTGACATGATCTGACATGTATGTTTAAAGGCTTAATCCGGCTGCTGTGGGGAAAACAGAAGGCTGTGGAAGGGCATGGGCAGAAGCAGGGAGACCATTTGAAAATCTATTGCAATAATCCAAATGAGAGATGATAGCAAGAGGTAGTGAAAACATGGTCAGATTCTGGATGTATTTTGGAGGCAGAGCTGACATAATTTGCTTATGGATTAGGTACAAGAGCCCTGGTGGCGCAGTGGTTAAGCACTTCGCTGCTAACCAAAAGGTCTGCAGTTTGAACTCACCAGCTGCTCTGCGGGAATAAGATGTGGCAGTCTGCTTCCGTAAAGATTAAAACCTTGGAAACCCTAGGGGGCAGTTCTACTCTGTTCTATAGGGTCGCTATGAGTCGGAATTGACTTGATGGCAATGGGTTTTGGTTTTTTATGGGAGAAAAAGAAGAGTCAAGGACGACTCCAGAATTTTTGCCCTGAGCAATTGGAAGGACTGGGTTGCCATTTACTAATATTGGGAAGACTGCAGAGAGAACAGACTTCGAAGTGAAAGATTAGTTTAGTTGTGGATATGTTAAGTTTAAAGAGGAGGTGTCGAGCAGACAATTGGTTATAGACTTAATGAGGCAAGATATAAATATCTGCCTCTTGTACACCTAATCTGTCATAGAACCAGGATTTGAATCCAACGCTCCTGCTCTTAAGCACTACACTATATCCCCTCAGACAGGAGAGGATAGAGGAAATGAACGTGGACATAAACACAGTAGAGATCAAAATGCAGCCACCCCCATGGACCATGAGCAAAAGGTTCCTTATTCAATAACAATGTTTGAAAATGTAAGGGTAAACTTAGGCATAATTCTTTTTTCCTGTATTTTATTATGAAAATTTCAAACATACAGAAAAGTTGAGAGAATTGTGTAATGAATACTCATATCCTCACCATCTAGATTTTATGATTAACATTTTTTTATAGTATTGCTAGATTTGCTTTATCACATATCTGTCCATCTCCATACTTTAATCAGTCCAACTTCTTTGATGTATTTCAAAGTAAGTTGAAGCCATCATTATGCTTTACCTTTAAACCCTTCAGCTGCATGCATAATTCTAGAAGTCACATTCAAAAATTAATGCTATTGGATTTAAATTTCAAGTAGGTTTAGAAAGGCTGAATGCGACCACAAAAAAGTTTATGGAACTTTTTAAGGTTAAAGACCATTCTCTTGTTCAAAATGTTAATGCGTGATGCAATGCTAAAGTAATTCTCAACTGTCTCCACGCAGAGGATGGGGAGGCTCGTGAAAGGGATGAAATTCGGCATGATCGGCGGAAAGAGAGACAGCATGACCGGAATCTTTCCAGGGCAGCTCCTGATAAGAGGTAGGTGCCATTTGAAATTAATACAAATTATGAAGTGTTCTTTGTGTACCTTTTAGAAAGGAGTTTCAGTCCACTTTTCATGCACTTAACTACTTTGTCTTAGCAGAAGAATTGACTTCTCTGGAGGTAATCTTTCTTCCATCACCTTGTAGAATCAGTTAGAATTCATAATGATGGGGATATAGAAAAGGAAATTCAGATCATGTTTGTGAAACAGAAACAGTGAATAGGACTGTCTTGGTCTGTTCTTTTCCTACTTCAAGTGGCAAGACCAAATTATTATGTGCCTATTCCTCTAGATAGGAAAGAAGCTGCCATACCTTTACTGAGATCCTTTTACATGCGAAGTACTGAGTACGGTGGTGGGAAAGGGCAAGTTTTGAAAGAAGTGAAAATCAGCCCCTAGTTATGAGCAGTTTAACTTAAAATTCAGAAAAGACAGAGCTATCATATAAAATGATTTGAGAAAATGTACAAAGCCCTCTTAGTAACTATAGACTTGTGTAGAACAAACCGAACACATGTATGGGACAGAGAGTAAAGTAGATAGGGATCAGGGAAGTCTGTGGTTCCCCAGAGAGTGAGGATATGAGATTGCTGAAAAGTTGAGGAAATGTAAAGGAGTAGAATTCACAGTGGGAATTAAATGCAAATATAAAACATTTTCTTCACAAATGAGCACTTTTCCATGCTCTGATCATCCTATGAGCTGATACAATCTGTTTTTTCAAGTCAGGTCTTAAACATGAAAATAGACTGCTGCTGGTGTTTTTTGTTGTTTTAATTGGCGTGTTTCATCTCCCTGGATAAGTGAAGTCACGGAGTTTTGGGTAAATGTACATTGTAAATGAAACAGGAATGAAGTGTGAAAGTGTACAATTAATGACACTTTTGTTCTGAAATTCCTAAGTTGTAAAAGTTAAAGTGGCTCTGTAGATCAATTGGGACCTTAAAACCACTATAGTGGCTATGAGAATTGGTAACATGGAACAGCTGTAAACTTGCAAGTGAATGAAAAATCACATTTTATATAGAAATCATTTTTAAGACTTGACTTTATATTGACATAAGTGGTGACAGTTACTGTGGTTTCATCGTGATTTACACTGTATATACACAGAAACAGCAGGGGAATTAATCTGAATGTCAGAAATCATACTGCGTAATCCAGACATTGACATGTTTTCTTTAAAATTCTAGTAGGATAAAATTATTAAACTCAGGTAAAAGAACTGATTCTATCTTATTGAAAAGGATTCATGTGATGCATCAAATTTGCATCCAGTCCCCTCCTTACCCTCATACAATGGCAAATGTAGACCACAGCAATTTCCTATCTAGGCATGCCTTGCGATTGCTTGTATTAAAGAATTCCATGACAAGAATGAGTCTCTTGGCTGTCTTCTGAGCTAACAGGAAGACCAAATTGTAAACGCTACCTCCTCTAATAATTTATCTGAAATGCTGTAAGGGCTGCCAACCTGAGTATGCATTATCAGGGAATACATGTTTTATAAGACGTGAACATGACACACTCATTTCCTTTGCTTCTGAGATTGGTTGTATTTAAATTAAAATACTCAGCTTGTCTGTAAAGAATTTTCAGTTGGTGATGTTGTATTTCAAAACAGGTCAAAACTGCAGAGAAATGAAAATCGAGACATCAGTGAAGTCATTGCTCTTGGTGTGCCCAATCCTCGGACTTCCAACGAACTCCAGTATGACCAAAGGCTCTTCAACCAATCCAAGGTACAAAAAGTTTAGAAACAGCATATCTTGTGTATTGATAGGAATACACATCCTCGGGGACAAGAAAATTAACATACCATAGATTTGGATCAGCCTAAGGTATGCTGGGAGCCCTGGTGGCACAGTTGTTAAGAGCTCGGCTGCTAACCAAAAGGTCAGCAGTTCAAATCCACCAGCTACTGCTTGGAAACCTTATGGGGCAGTTCTGCTCTGTCGGAATTGACTCGATGGCAACGGGTTTGGTTTTGGTTTTAAGGTATGCTGGCCTGATAAGAGAAAACAAGGGAAGTTGCATGTTGTAACTCAAGAAACAAGCTGAAACAGCTGACTGTCCTCTTAGAGTTGGATAGCTAAGATTTGAGACACTATAAGAACATAGGTGGTAAGCCTGGGTTCTGGTATGTGAAGCTTTTTCTTTCAAAAATAGAGCCAAGTGTCGTATAAAGGCACCTGTTGGGTTATTTTTTTGTTGATCTTTGGATTTTCTTATTATGCTATGCTACCAAAAGGTTGGCGATTCAAACTCACCCAGTGACTGTGGGAAAAAGACTTGGCAGTATGCTCCAATAAAGATTCAGCCAAGAAAACCTTATAGGGCAGTTCTTTGTGGAATGGGCTTGCTATGAGTCAGAATCAACTTAACAGCACCCAACAACAACAGAAAAACATCTACCTGGAATCTTTAAAAATTTAAACTGTAAAACTACTAGGCTGGTATTCAGGAAATCTGGTTTCTAGTATTGGTTGTCATTAACTAGGACAGGTTAGCCCTGAAGAAGTAAGTACCTTTGTATTTTAATTCACCCAACATTGATTACTTACTGTGCATAAATCACAGTAAGATCATAGATGCTGCCTTTGCCCACCAGGAACCCATAGTCTACTGGAGAAAACAGACATATATATATACAAAGATAAGACAGACTGTGCTAAGAGTTTAGAAGTATAAAGTATTACTGGAATATGGAGGGGAAAATTAATGATGACTAGGAGATTTTAGAAAGATTTGAAGGTAGCATTTGAGCAAGCCTAAAAATTTATTGGGTGCTTTCTACGTGCCAGGCATTGTTCTAAGTCTTTTACTTCTGTTGTCTCATTTAATCCTCACAAAAACTCTATCATTGCCTGCATTTTACAGATGAGGAAATTGACACACAGAGAGGTTACACCCCTTAGCTAGTAAGTGATGGAACTAAGATTCAAGCCAGGGCTGTCTTGATTCCAAAGTTTGTTTTTAACCACTATGCAACAGCAACTTCCCAGGTAGAGGAAACAACCTAAACAAAGGTCATTAGGGATAAAAGTTCCACGTAAGTAAATTATTTTCAAGACATTCACTTCTTAAACAGGCTTAAATTATTTAAAAGTTGTGATGAAAATTTTTCTTTAAAAAGGAACATCCCTGTATTAATATACCATCCAAATATATGAAACAAGTTTGTGTCTTAAGATTTTCATTGAGCCTTATTATCTCGTAATAGTGATGTTCTCACAGTTAAGGGGTATGTTATTACTCTAAACGGCATCAGAGAAATGTTTTCTCGTTCTTCTGTCTTCTGCCTCCATGTCTATATAAATTGTAGTTGTCAAATACCTGCTTATAGTAGCGCGCACACACACACACACACCCCCGTTTTAATGATTACTTTGCAAAAGTAGTCAAACTTGTTAATGAGTACCTTATTTAATCTATGGCTTGGATAAGGACTCAAAGGTGACATGAACAAGTTTATGGTTTTGTGAGTTTTCTTTTCTTTAAATAAAGACCTTTTTAATTTGTAGTTTGGGTTGTTGAAAATGTGACCTATAAACAAGCAAGGGGCTACCCTTCATATGAATATAATCAGATTCAACTTTCAATAAATCATATGTACATTTTAATTTAATGTCACTTATTTTTCCACAGGGTATGGACAGTGGTTTTGCAGGTGGAGAAGATGAAATTTACAATGTTTATGATCAAGCCTGGAGAGGTGGTAAAGATATGGCCCAGAGTATTTACAGGCCCAGTAAAAATTTAGACAAGGACATGTATGGTGATGACCTAGAAGCCAGAATAAAGACCAACAGGTACCAAAGCAGAGAACTGTTTTCATGTTTATACCAGTGAAAACAAGGTAGTTCATTATCCTTTGTCTTTTTCCCTAGGTTTGTTCCCGATAAGGAGTTTTCTGGTTCAGACCGTAGGCAGAGAGGCCGAGAAGGACCAGTTCAGTTTGAGGAAGATCCTTTTGGTTTGGACAAGTTTTTGGAAGAAGCCAAACAGCACGGTGGTTCTAAAAGACCCTCAGATAGCAGCCGCCCCAAGGAACATGAACATGAAGGCAAGAAGAGGAGGAAGGAGTAGATGTACCTTTCTTCAAAGTGAATGAACTATGATCCATAACCCTAATGACACAAGTCATATGGTGGAATACTTTGTAAATGGTCAGGATAAAAACCAAATCTGGGTGCCAGATCCCAGCACTACTTTTTATTACAGGAGAAAGAGGGGATAGACAATTCTACTTTGAACTGTTTAGTTTTTTTTAAAGAGTGGGTTGTTTGTGCTTTTCTCACCTTTCAGCATTTATAGAACATATTGCCCAGCACATGAAATTAAGACCACTTCCTTTTGTGTTACAACAGTAGTTTGGGGTTAATACGTTGCAGAAGAAAGACGGCTTATACATAAAGTAACCCCAACCTCGGTGAGTAGGAGGATGGGACTTACTGGAATTGCCGTGCCTAATGAATGTTTGCCCCTATTGTCCTGTTTTAATTTGGAGTGGGGAAAGTAAGCTCTTGCTTGGTGCAACTATTTGTTTCAAATAAAAACATTTAGACAAATGTTTTAGTTTCGTTTACTTTATCTAATAGGGAGTAGTATTCTCAAAAATCTTTCTCTTCATCAGATGTTTGATCCCCTTGCAAAACTTTTGGTCTTTGAGCTTGAACCTGGAGCTGAAAGAAATTAAGTACAGTAAGGAAAGACAATGTCTGCAAAAACATTAGTACTGAAATTACCACTTTAAGGTTGCCTTTTTAGTCGGAAGTCACCACAATACTCTTGTTCTTCTTAAGACTTCCGGAAACTTCATTTAAAACTTGTAAATCATTTTGGCCCAAGGTCACATCAAAACCAAAACCAAATCCACTGCCTTAATCAACTCATAGTGATCCTACAGGACAGAGAAGAACTGCCTCACAGCATTTCCAAGGTTGTAAACCTTTACAGAAGCCGACTGACATGTCTTTCTCCTGCCGAGAAGCTGGTAGGTTCAAACCTCCGACTTTTTGCTTAGCAGCCAAGCACTTAACCACTGTGCCACCAGGGCTCCTTTTCAAGGTCACATGTTGTTAGGTGCCATCAAGTCAGTTCCAACTCACATCAACCCTACGTACAACAACGAAATGCTGCCCAGTCTTGCACCATCCTCACATAGTAAGTGGAAAAGTCAGGATTTCAACCCCAATCTGCCTAACTCGAAAGTGGATTGCTCTTTCCACTGTTCCATGTTACATATACCTTGTTAACCACTAAAGGGTCCTCCCTCACCAAACTTTTTGTAACAGGGCACTCTACCATACCACTACCACTGTTTTGAACTAAGGCAGCTTCAACCACAGATCTCCCAAAGTCCCTATCATTCCACTTTCCACCTATTTAAAATACTATGCAGAGAGCTCATGATATGACATAGAAAAAGACTTATTACCTTTACTCCATCAATAATATGATTTTCCTTCTGTAGTGCATTCTGAAGTTCTTCTTCTGAAGAAAACACAATCCAACCCATACCTCTGTGAAAGCCAGTCTCTTTGTCCTAAAAATTCAAAATATAGTAAAAGATTAATCATGAACCTGACAAAGTTTCCATGAGTTCCAAATCAAACTACCAACCTTTTCATCTGCCAATATGGGATTATAAACATTTTAATAAATATCAATAATCTTGCTTTAGGGCACATTCACCTTCCTACTTACCCAAGGTTTAGTCCCTGTTAAACTTAACATTCTCTTACTTTTCCACTGACATTGGAGAAGTAAAATAAGAGTAATGAGTTTTCTGTTTCTGTATTAGATGCTAACAGCAACAGTAGTAAAGGAAATTTTTAATCATTAAGAAATGCTCTTTGTTCCTCACTTCTAGAAACTAAAAAATTAAGCCTCCAGTAGCATTTTTAGTAATTTCTGAGGCCAATCATCATTACTACCACCACCTTTATCATCACATGTTCCTAATGAAAAATAGGAAAGATACATAAAATATTACCTTTACTTACCTAATTCCAGACTTCTGGTTAATGGGAACAATTCTGCTACTTCCCGTTGTGCAAAAGGCAGAGTGCTTATCATTCAACCTACACATCAGCACATGTGGAAGAGCTTCTAGTGTGCTTGGACACACTCCCTGCCCCTCCACCCCCAAATCTATGTAAAAGACAGGTACCAAGATGTCTAGTCAGTCAATGTAGATGATGATCAGGTCCTGTCAGTCTTGTTACAAAGTTACACTGCATTGCCAAAAAAGTCTGAGAAATTGCCCCCATATGTCAAAGGTAACTTCATTAAGTACTAACCTAGAATGCAGACCTCTTCCAAAGGTTACCATATGTAAAGGAAAATTTTCTGATGATGTCCCAGTGATTCATTTACCCCTGATACGGCAATTTCTAAACCACTTCCACATATAAAGGCATTATAAAGTTTATTTTTATGTTAGAACTTAGATACTACGTATCCAAGATAGGAACTTGAATTTCTAACTTGAGTACAATGAATTTTGTTAACTAGAAATTAATTTTCTTTGTTACATTTTATGTAGTTGTATCAAGAATCAAAGTCTTTTTCTGTAAACTCCAGGTCCTAAATTATCTATACTTTTAGGAGGGGAAAAGAAACAAAGAAAAATCTGTTTTCTTGTAGCTTTTTTTAAACTTACAGAATCCCATTGTATCAATGAATTAATGCTTATTTATAATGAATCTCACTGATGAAAATTTAGTTTCTTTCCAATTATTTGATATTAAACAATGCTGCTTTGAACACTCTTGACCATGCATTTCTATAGAATAAATTCCTAGAAATGGAATTCCTAGATCAAAACAAATGCAAACTTCTAATTTTGATAGATTTTGCCAAACTATCCCTCAGAACTGAATGTACCAGTTGAACTTCTCAATAAATCAAGTGCCGGTCTCCCTACACCTTCACCAGCACTAGATACGAGTTATCTGTTCCATCTTCGGAAGTTAAGTAACATTTAAACCATGAGTTAAGAGCTTAAGTTACTTTAGGTTGATATTTTACCACAGACTTTTCAGTCATGAGGAAAAGGGTGGCTTCAATGAAGTGCATGTAAATTCTGTACTTATATCACACCCCAAAAAGCCCAGTAATTCTAGAAAGCCCACAGAAAAATACAGCCCAGGATAGACTGACTGACTTCTAGACCCTCATGAGAAAGCAAAGCAAATGTTAACTGATATAAAATTATTCACTCTTATCAAATACTAAAAAAATCACCACCTCTTAAAGTGGCACTCAATGAAGACAAAGTTTAGAATATTGTCTGCCAATTACTTTCATGATTAGCCTCTACTATCTAAAATCCTTACTAGAATATTGTAGTATTATAAACTGGCAGAATTCTAAAATGGTCCCCATTACTCTCCTCCCAGTGTTAACACCCCGTACAATGCCCTTCTCTTCAGTGTGGGTGGGACTAGTGACTTGCTTCTAAGCAACAGAATATGGTAAAGGTAATGGGATGTCACTCCCCTCATGAGGTTATATGGCAATGGTAATGGAACGTCACTGCTATGACTATATTACATTATATAAGATGCTGGCTTAGCAGGATGGAGAGAGAGAGAGAGGGAGAGACTTCCCTATTGGCTTTAAAGAAGCAAGCTGCCATGTTATAAGACGGCCTACAGAGAGGCCAGGTGGCAAGGAAATGCAGTTGGCAGCTAGAAGCTGAGAGCAGCCCCCAGCAGAAGGCCAGCCAAACAAATTCTGCCAACAACCTGAGGGAGCTTGGAAGTCTATCTCTCCCCCAGTAAAGCCTCTGCTGAGATGATAACTTCAGCTGACTTCTGGACTGCAGTGTATGAGACCTTGAGCAGAAGACCCAACTAACCTACAGAAACTGACAGATAACATATGCATGCAGTTTAGAGCTGTTAAGTTTGTGATGATTTGTTTAGACAGCAATAAAAAACTAACACAAATACTTATGATAAAGCTTTTTATTTTTTAATCACTATCACCCATAATTTTATCAATAAGGACTTTGAACAGCCTCACTGCATTGTTCATTAACATAAGTTGATACACTTTTGATTAAAAAAAAAACCAAGAATTAAAAAGGAGAATTTTTTTTTTTAAGATAATACTTACAAAAGGTAGCGTGCACCTTCGTACATGGCCAAACTGTGCAAAGTGTTCTCTCAGCTCATCTGTACGGGGGAGGAAACATACAAAGGTAGTTAATATATTTTGTATTCTCCATCATAGATTGTACACAGATGCCAAAAGGAGGCCTTGAGTTCCCAAACTTCTTGTGAACAGGAGCTACTCCTCATTTCCTGGAGCCTTAAGATTTAGGAAGCAATTATGGCACTGACTAGGAGTCCCTGAGTGGCACAAATGGTAAAGCACCTGGCTACCAGCTGAAAGGCTGGCAGTGTGAACCCACCCAGAGTTGTCGTGGAAAAAAGGCCTGGTGATCTGCTTCTGAAACATCACAGCCTTGAAAACCCTACAGAGCAGTTCTACACTGCATATATGGAGTCACCATGAATCACAATCGATTCAATGGCAAATAACAACATGGCACTGACTGTAAAGTTGCAATGTGCCAGATTTGGGGAGGCAGTGCGATGGGGACATGGGCAGATTATTTGCTGAGTTTAAAACTACAGTCTCCACCCCTAACGATACTGAGCGTCTTCATAATGCCAGGTACTGTGCTAGGTGTATGAATTATAATGCCTTGCCACCTCAAATCCATCTTCCACACTGCAGTCAAAGTAATGATAATGAACAGTTGCTGCTGAGTCAATACCAACTCATGGTGACCCCACGTGGATCCAAGCGCAACTGTGCTCCATAGCGTTTTCAATGGCTGATTCTTAGGAAGTACATCGCCAGGCTTTTCTTTCGAGGTGCCTTTAACCTTTAGGTTAGCAACCGACCCTAACCTTCTGCATCACCCAGGAACTCTTGCAGTCAAAATGTTTTTGTTGTTGTTAGGTGCCCGGAGTCAGTTCCGACTCATAGCGACCCTATGTACAACCAAACGGAACACTGGGCGTCCTGCGCCATCCTCACAATGATTGCTGTTTCAGCCCAGTTGCAGCAACTGTCAGTCCATCTTGTTGAGGGTCTTCCTCTTTTTCGCTGACCCTCTACCTTACCAAGCAGTCAAAATAATGCCTCCTAAACCATAAATCTGAAAGTTCCCAAGTAATAAACCTTTCCACAAAATCACCTCGAAAATCAGGAGACCGTGAATTAGTGCCCCAAAAGCTCAGGGGGGGCATCCCTAAGTTTGGTTAACTGCAAGTAAAATTTTCTGCTCATCGACTTGCTCAGGGGCAAGCTTCTAACGCAGCTACCACGCTGACTTAAGTATTTTGCAGAAAGCAGAGCTTTTGAGGACCGATTGGACCTAGAAATGCCGCCTCTCCCACCTCTCCATCACTCACTCGAGGCCGCGGTCCAGGGAATTTTTCTGACAAAAGCAATCGGCCGGTTAATACTCGTACGCACCGCCATAGAACGCCTCACTACCGAGGCCGCCATCTTTACACTGAACTACCTTCGAGAGCTGGGGCCTCGACCCCGGAAGAAGGTGCCGCATCCGGAGCATGGGAATCTGCTTCCGGGTTAACAGAAGCCAGGCAGCGAGATGGGAAAGATGGCGGCGGTTGTCGGTTCTGCGGCGACCATAGCAGCGGAGCCGGGGGAGGACGCCTTTAGGAAACTTTTCCGCTTCTACCGACAAAGCCGTCCCGGGACCGCGGACCTGGGAGGGGTCATCGACTTCTCGGCGGCCCATACAGGCCGGGGCGCGGGTCCGAGTGCCCACAAGGTATGGGATGAGGAGCGGCGCGCGCCTCGCCTTGTCTCGCCGAGGGTCTTCCAAGTCCTCGCGTCTTTTCGTTTCCAGACCGATTGTTGAGTTATTCTCGCCCTCCTTGGGCGCGGAGTTTAACGGCCCACGAGGCGTCACACTTTGGCGGTGAAGGGCTGTGCTGTCTTTTTCTCCACACGGCCGGTACCGGTGACGGCGTCGGTCAAAATATGGCTGGGAATTGGTGTTTATTTCTTTCGTTAACTGTCCATTTATAGTTCTTCGATTTGTACAAAACTCCGTAGAACGTCTTCGCAGACTTTGGACTAGTGCTCCGCAGCTTTAAAAAACCAGCCCGATTAATCCCAGAGCTTGATTCCGATGTTGTCAACCAAGCAGTTGCTTATAAAATATCCCTGTTTTCTTTGGCCCTTTTAGAAAGAGGACATTAGAGGAATCTAAGCTAATACTTCCAATTTGAAAGTAACGATAAACACTGGAGTATATTTGGAATCCAGACCCCTTCCTGTGGAAATTTAAAAAAAGGGAACACAATATCGGGAGGCGGGGAGTACGAGAGGAAAACTACAACTGTAGTGCTATGTGTATTTTCTTTATAATCACTTCAACGCTGAGAATACATACCTTAATTTGCCCTTAGTGTTGTCCAAAGTTGTCTGGATGAGGCATTCTTACCAAGTTTTCCAAGCTCTCAATAAAATTGGAATTCCTTTAGTTACACCGTTATTTATCTAGTGCTCAACTTCTCAGAAACTTCATTTATTAGAAACAATGGTTTCAGAGTTGTCAAAATAAGGTGTAGATAGTCTCCACCCCAACGGTAATATACTTAAACTCCTGGAAGAGCCTCTCAGGCCTTGATTTGGCTCCTTTTACCCATAGTTTACCTTAATACTAACATATTTTTAGAATGTAAGCCACCTGAAAACAGGACCATGCATGTCTACCATAGTACCTAAAACATAGTAACCAAAAAAACCAAACCAAACCCATTACTAACCCGTCGATTCCTACTCGTAGCGACTGTAGGACAGAGTTGAGCTGCTCCATAGGGTTTCCAAGGCTGTAAAGCAGACTGCCACATCTTTCTCCCACAGAGCGGCTGGTGGGCTTGAACCACCAACCTTTCAGTTAGCAGCCAAGCGCTTTAACCACTGTGCTACCAAGGCTCCTTTTTAAAACATAGTAAAACCTAAATAAATAAATAAAATCATCCTTTGCCATAGAGTCAATTCAGACTCATGGTGACCCTGTGTGTTACGGAGTAGAAGTGCTACATAGAGTTTTTTTGGATGTAATCTATGGAAAATTGCCAGGCCTTCTGCTACTGGGTAGGTTTGAACCTTTAGGTTAACCGTTCAGTGCAAACCATTTACGCTATCCAAGAACCTTAAAACATAGTAAGCATTCAGTACAGTGTGTGTTGAGTACGTGAAAATGAATGTTTAGTTCCTTAGTTCAAAGCAGACTAAAAGCAGCAAATTAGAAAGGAAGAAAATTGCCACTACAAGACGCCTGATAAGAGCAGTGGGGAAAGTGATGGCTTGGCAAGGGAAGAAGCAGAAAAACTTGTTTTTTAAAAAAGCTCAGTGGTTTGGTTCAGTGTAGCATATGATAGAATAGGTCCACAAACTTGCTTTAGCTCTGACGGCATTACTGAATTGGGTGCCACAGCGGTTTTGTGCTTGACTACTAACCAACTACTAACTGAAAGGTTGGCAGTTGGAATCCACCCAGCGATTTACTTCCCTAAAATTTAAAAAAAATTGCCGTGGAGTTGATTCTGACTCACGGAGACCCCATATGTTTCAGAGTAGAACTGCACTCCATAGGGTTTTCATGGCTGTGACCTCTCAAAACAGATCACCAGGCCTTTCTCCCAAAGCCCCTCTGGGTGAGTTGAATTGCCAGCCTTTCTGTGAGCAGGCAAACGCTTAACTGTTTATATCACCCAGGGACTTCTTCCTTAAGATTGCAGGCATTGAAAACCCTGTGGAGCACAGTTCTGTGAAACACGTGGGGTTACCAGGAGTCAAAATCTGGATGATAACAGGTTTGATTTTTTTTTTTTTAAATACATTAGCCACTTGGTATTTTGTCTGGAAATCTGCCCACTTGGAGAAGTTGATAGGATAAAAGATCGTATCTCTTTGGAAGAGAACATCTGCTACATTCTAAGGAAAGGCAGACCCTAAATTTAATATTCATGAAAGAATAATGTTTGTTTGTTTTTTCTTCATGTCCTTACTTTAATGACTGTATATTGGGTGTCTTAACCAATTTAATGAACCATCCATTAAGATACTCTTACGTGTAAAGAAACTTCATCAGCCCCTGAAATACTTCGTTTCTAAGTAATTAACAAAGGCAGAAGTTCTGAGCTTCAGTTTGAAGTTTCATCTGAAAAAGAGCAAAGATTGTGATTTAGCAGAACGAATTCCTAAGATTTTATTGGAATATTTTTTCTGTCTTGTTAGAGCACTGTTTTCATTTTATCACCCTTCCCCAGCCTGTTGTTCCTCACAGCTCTGTTGTGTAAACACTGACTGTATAGAAGTGCCTCAGAGCGTTATTGTTAACCCTAAGCAAAGTATTGCAACCTGGGGTATTCCTGTAGACCAAAAACATCTTTCATGATTCACAGTCCTAGAAGTCACAAAGGTAAGGTATTAGGAAAAGGTACTCTTGAAGGCCCAAATCAGCCTACTTAATGGTAGATGAAAAGTTTTGTCTTTGCCGCTTATCTTGATTTTATATAGCTCTCTGGTGTTTGTTAGATGAGGAAACTGAAGTTCTGGGAAGTTAAGTGACTCACCTTAGGTCCTAAATGTAGTAAGAGATGGAGCTAAGACTAAGACCCTGGACTTTTGATTCCTAGCTTTGACCGATACCAGAAATGTCTTTGGAGTTTAGAGATTACCAGAGTTGGTCTGTAAAATAGCTTTAGCCCTCTGACTTCTGTTTCCTTCCTGCCAGGTGGTCAGATCTCAGCTAAGTGTGTCCTCAGTCAACGAGCACGATGCACATAGAGCAGGACTTCAGCCAGTCAGCAAGTGGCGAGCCTATGGACTCGAAGGCTATCCTGGTGAGTGCAGCTGACCTTAGAGAGGGTGAAATCATGCAAGAATCATTTGTCTAATTTCAGAGGAGGAGCTATGAGCAAGCAAATAGACGAAAGAGAAAACTGAACATTCATAAATGTTCCACTCCCAAACCCATCCTAAATTCTGCCTCAATACAAGGTTTTCATTTATGGAGCATTGAGTTGTCATTCCCAAAGGATAGAACAAGAGTCAGCAATACCTGCCTTATATGGCAGAAAGTGGCACGTCAGCTACCCATCAAGAATAAGGACATTTACTCTGGGCTCCCTGCCACAACTCTGAACACCTTCTCTGGCAGAAGAATCACTTTGAAGGATAGAATAATTCATAATTGCCACTCCAGACACAAAACCTACATTCTCAAATGGCATAACAAGTTAAAAATTGTTATCATCATCCAAGCTGAGAGCATTTGGAAAGAGAATTACAGTTAATGAGATAAAAGTCATAATAGACTAAACAGTCTCGAATTTTGAATTTTAGCAATATTTGGTAGCTTACTTTACAGTTAGAGAAATCAAGATAGTAATGAAGAGTGTAATGTTATTAACCTTTTTCCTGCGGTCATTGGGACATTATAGATTAGTTTTTGTGACCTGTTTAGAAGATAGGAAAATGCCTTAGTTGGCCCAAGTAATATTAGACAATCTGTCATCTGTTTCTTCCTAGAAGACAAGGTTAATGTTACACCTGTGATTTCAATTGTGGGTTAAAAGCAAGAAAAATCTCTAAAAAGAAGTGTTAGTTTTCATTGTACTGATTTGAATGTTTGGGCAAGGGCCAGGACTGTTTATGTTACAACTCTTATTTACTATATTAAAAACCCTTTGCCATCAAGTTGATTCTGACTCATAGTGACCCTATAGGACAGAGTAGAACTGCCCCATAGGGTTTCCAAGGAGCAGCTGATGGATTTGAACTGCTAATCTTTTGGTTGGCAGCCAAGCTCTTAACCAGTGAGCCACCAGGGCTGCATTTACTACGTTACAACCACTAAAATATTTGTTAATAATGTGGAAAGGTGTAACAGCTTTAAGAAGGAGCCCTGGTCCTGAAACTCTTGCCCTGAGATAATCTTTAAACCTTAAACCAAAAATATCCCCTAAAGTCATCTTAAAACTGAACAGTAGTTTAGCTGAACTAGTTTAAAAAAAAAAAAGGCCTGCCTTGAGCATTATACTCTTTTAAGAACTATCTATGTGGGATCAGATTGACAACAGCAACTCAAAAGATTAGATAGGAACCTTAGGGGGCAGTGAGTTAATGTGGGAGGAACAACTCAAGAAAGGAGGGTGAGAATGTTTGTGCAACTGGAAGAATGTAATCAGTGTCAGTAAATTGTGCGTGTAGAAACTATTGAATTGGTGTATGTTTTGCTGTGTATATTCTCCTCAACAACATCAAAATAAATAAAATTTAGGGATGGGGGAGAAGGAGCCCTAATAGTGCAATGGTTAGGCACTCAGCTCCTAACCAAAAGTCAGCAGTTCGAAACCACCAGCTACTCCATGACAGAAAGTGTGACAGTCAGCTTCCATAAAGACTTACGGCCTTGGAAACCCTATGGGGCAAGTTCTACTCTGTCCTACAGGGTCGCTATGAGTTGGAGTCGACTCGATTTTTGGGGGAACAGCTTTAATACTTCCTATAAAGGACATCATGCACTTTAGTTCTGCACTGCGTACTCACAAAGGAAGCCGTTAAATAATGACTTTTATGTATGAAGGCATTGCTTTCCTTGAGTTTGGATAAACAAATGCATCACCAGCAGTCTTATACACAGTTTTTGTTCTTGAAGACTTCCACTTAACTTTCAACTCTAGCTTCTGTTTTCAGAGCCAGGTTTCTCTGTTGCTCTACTTTTTTGCCTTAGCAAATTATTCAAACTGCCTGTACCAAAGTTAGTGACCCCACTTTGGTTTTTTAATGTCCAAATTGGTGTGCTTGCTTTTTGAGGTTTTCTAGGATTTTAAACTTATGCCACATCATTTGAGTTGGCACCCCATTATGTCCTCAGAGAATTTCTTATATCTTCCTTGCCATTGTAAGCTGCATTTAACAGAAGTATAATGTTTCTGTTATACCTCTCATGGGAGATGACAGTCTCCCCTTACTCTGATTTGATCAGGAGGATTATGTGTACTGCTATATCCTATTTATTCTGAAGGAACCTGAATATATTACAGCCTGTCTTTAAGTAGTGAACAAGAAGATATTGGATCTGGAAACCAGAAACTTAATTTGGGGAAGAGAAGATTTGGGGTGAACATGATAGCATCAGATATTTGAAAAGTTGTCATACACAAGAAGAGAAAGAAAGCAGTGCAGACTAGTGGTTAAAGCATAGGTTCTTAGACCAGGCAGCCTGAGTTCATATCCTGGCTGTACCTACTAACTATATGATCTTGGGCAAGTTTTCTTAATCTCTCTTTGCCTCTGTTTCCTCATGTTTAAAATGCGCATAAAAATAGTGCCCACCTATTAAGGTGGTTATGAGGATTAAATATGAGTATACATGTAAAGTGGTTAGGTAGGTGACTAGTACGTAGTTTAAGTGCTCAGTAAATGTTAACTGTAAAGCTATAGCTATTTCACAAAAAGAATTTTAACTAAAGGTTGCTCTAGATGTCAGAACCAAGGCAGTCCATGGAAATTGAAGGGAGGCAGATTTAACCCAATAAAACGAAGAATTTTATTACACAACAGTTGTCTGAAGTGGACTGCCTGTAAAGAACTCCCTGTCACTGTTCAAGCTGGGACTACATCAGAAATATTCCTTTACTCTGATATTTTCGGGGTATTTTAATATTCTTTATTTTGTGAGATAATAGTGATAGCAGATAGTAGCGTTTTTGTTTTGTTTTTAATATCCTTTTTTGTCAGAATAGTTAGAGGCCTTGTCACTTTCCCAAATTACTTGGAGAATTTCACTGATGCATGAAATGCAAAATAGGAACCTCTAGCTGGATGACTACTTTTTGGAGCTATTTTAGAGGACATATTATAGAATCAGATGAGTGGTTAAGCTAGATGACCATTAAGATGAATTTCCATGACTCTGATCCTGTACGTATCTTTTAAATATCTTTATTGATCAGCCTTTTACTGATTTTTTTTTTCTTGCTACATTACTACCTAGTCTCCTGCCTCAATAATAAAATCCACCAATAGCTTTCCATTTTTTCTTGGGGAGTAAAAATCTTTGGCTATGTAGGGTTTTCTTGGTGCCAACAGAACTAACTTTAGTCATTAGGTTTTGTTTGGAGTATATGCTGTTAATAATAAATGGGCAAAATCAGATATAATCAACTGCAGGGAGTAGCCTGTCTTCTCAGTGAACATCTCTAAGCAGTCTAGATTTTTTCCATATCTATAAGAGTCTAGACTTAAAACTTTAAATGCTTTTAGTAAGATTTAGTACAGTGGAGGAATGAGACTCATTTGGTTAAAGCCTAGTATTAAAGTGCAAAGATTAAAGATTTTCCCCCTTTGTGGGCTTATTGATTTTTCTGTTTTCCATGACCACAGACTCACCTTTGTTGTCATCTCCCAAATGTGTGCCATTGGCCACAAGATGGGCCAGGAGAGAGGGGTGAATCAGTGAAGTCATTTTACCTCTCTGAATCTCTGGTCTCTCATCTGTAAAATGGAATTAATAGCTATCATGGAGGATTATTATTGAGGATTTATGAGATCGTATAAGGTTCCTAGCACACTGGCTACACTTGGTAAGCATCTACTTATTTTTAGTAGCTGTTGTAATTAGTGACTTTAAAATAAGTTAATTTATTGTTAAAACCTATTAGTAAACTTCACCATCGTTCTGTTTAAATTATATGCCAAAGAAAAGAAAGGCAAAGTGGTTTATTAATACCAAAGTTTTGGAGGTTTTTTGTTTTTGGTTTGTTATTTGTTTTAATCTCAGCCCAGTGTCTTATTTTTCTCCCTGAGGACATTTCTGTAATATATGCTATCATTGTAAATAGCGTAGACCAGAGGTTGATAAACTACAGTCTAGGGGTCAAGCCCACCATCTGTTTTTGTATATAAAATTGTCTTGAAATACAGCCGTGCCTATTTGTTTACGTATTGTGTGTAGCTGCTTTTGTACTACAATGGCAAAGTTGAGTGTGAAAGAGACTGTGTAGCCGTCAAAGCCTAAAATATTTACTATCTAGTTCTTTACGTAAGAAGTTTGCTGACCCTTGGTCTAAACTAGGTCTGGATTTCAACTAAGAATTGAAGACCTTCAAATAATTCCCAGCATTTAACTCAGGAATCGTTTAGCTTTAGTATATTCATCTACTTTCAGTATCTTTCTGCAGGGGGAGGGAGGATACTACCCTAATGTATAATGATTGCCTACCGTATCATTTCACTGATTCCTTCTTCTTCCTCAAGACCTTGCCCCCTCTTTCTTGCCCAGATGGGCTTGCTATCTGTCTGTTTGGTAAAATTGAGTCCATCAGGCATGAACCCCTCCACTTCCAGTGGCGCCCACACGTACTAGCAGATGTTATTATTCCTATCTTCCAGTCTTAGAGGAAGAAGAATTCCTTCTGTTCAAAGCCTCTTGGCCTTACTCTTAACCCATCTTCTTTTACCTCTTCCAGCTTTCAAGACCTTGCTCTGTTGCTTTTCTCACTTCTATTTTCAACCAATTCTTCTCTGCTGGCGCTTTCCCCATAATCTGTGAGCATGCAAAAAGTCTTTCCAGTCTCTAAAAACCATAAGCTCCCCTCTTAATTCTTTATTTTCCCATGACTACTCTTCAGTCTTTGTTCCTTTCATAACCAGGCTTCTAAAAAGAGTTACTTGTATAACTGTCTCTACTGCCCTATCTCCAGGTACTTCATCGAGGACAAAGTTTTTCTTCTCTTGTATCCCTAAATTCTTAAGAAAGTGCATGATAACATAGTGTTTGCTGAATGTTTCATGAATGAATAAATGTGTCTATGCACAGGATTCCAGTTAATCTTGTTATTTTTTTTTTACAGAGGAGAAAAATGAGGTTAGGTTACTTTCAAGATCACAAAGATCTTTTCAACACACATGCTCTAGTTACTTGCATCATACCATACTGAGAAGAAATGTATATCGCCTTTCTTCCCTGGTATATCAGTCAGGGTTCAGTCAAGAGGCAGAAATCACACTCATTATTTTACCTTAGATAATTTAATGTAAAGAATTGTTAGCCAGATATTAGAAAGCTGAAAAGGTAAAAAGAGAACATTGAGAGATCACACAGATCACAGGAAGCAGCTACTACCCCTATGATTGGGGGGTGGCGGGGGCAGGGGACAGAAGAGTTTGGAGTTAATAAATTTTAGAAGCTTGGAGGAGTGGCCCCATAGAGCTAGGACTCAGACTTTTGAGGAAGGGGCATATTGAGGTTGGTTCTGGTGATTTGGAAAAACTGTTGATCAGAGCCAACCTCTGCCCTCTAGTCTTCCTTTGAAGTTCCCTATAGAGACAAGTTTTAACAACTGGCAAAGGAGAAATGTAGTTTACAGAGTGCCAACCCCACATTCCAGTGACACATGTAGAAGGATGGATTTAAAGCTGACAGACAATAGATTAATTGCGAGCACTCCTTTCACTAGATGATGACTTTCAGTTCTATGTGTTTTAGTTAAATTTAGTGTCAGAGGTTAGCCTTCTGTCCCTGAGGTAAATGAAATAAGGAGTTAGTAAAGTCTTGGATGACTCTGTAAATGATACACCCAGAAAAAATTTGAGGGGGGATTTTTGGCAGTTTCAGTTCTAAAACTTGCTTTGGAATAGCCTGTGAGTAATTTAAATAAATGAATACAGTTATAATTGATAGTTAACCTTGTGGAATATTTGTTTCTCTTGAGAATATCCCAAAAAGCCAGAGATACTTGAATAGTGGTAGATGTCTAACATTCATTAAAACTTAGTTTTTCATTCATCTGAAGCCTGATCAAAAGGAGGTAGGAGTAAATAACAGAGTAGTAAGTATAAGCATGTTAACAAAAAAAAAAATTATATGCCTAACTGATGGAGAATTTCCCCTTCTCCTTTTTTTTCTGTTCTTCTTTTGTATAGGATTTATTTTCATCCCAAACCCCTTCCTCCCAGGTTACCAATGGCACTGGGTGAAGCAGTGTCTTAAGTTATATTCCCAGAAACCCAATGTATGCAACCTGGACAAACACATGACTAAAGAAGAGACCCAAGATCTGTGGGAACAGAGTAAGGAGTTCCTGAGGTAAGTGTTACCAGTCACAAGAAAGTGTTAATATTCAGCTCAGATCATCGCAGATCTTGGGAGGAACTACTCTATAACAATGCGGTCAAAGTGCCTGTTTTGTTTCTTTTTCATTCTTTGTTCCCACACAAATACAGCAAAATCATTTTCTTTCCCCCCGGAAACATTTAGACAGATGCTTTGACAGTTATATTAAATTGAGATCCATTTTAAAGATTTGCTTATCATAGCTGAGATATTAAGTTCATCCTCATTAATCATCAGATGGTCCATTTTCATTCAGCTTCAGCCCTTTTTTCTACTTACTCAGTTCCTTTGAAGATTGGTAGTATACTGAGAAAAGTATAACAGTGAAAGCTCTTTATTCTGTTCTTCTAGATGAAGTTGATGGTACTAGTTGATGCTACAGTTATTCCTCATGAGAAGAACTGATGCTTGTACCTTAATGTTCTTTTAACATTCATTCACTCCACAAATATTTGTTGAGGGCCAGTTGTGTGCCAGGCATAATGTTAGACATTGGAGGTAAAAAGGTTAATATGTCACTGTCCCGGCCTTCAGAAGTGCATAGTCTATGGCAGCAACTCAATATCTACAGGAGTAATTATAACAGAGCTCAGAAAGTGTTATGATAGGTGTTTAGAAAAACACTGTGAGAGCACAGAGAGGGAAATGATTAATTCTTCCAGACAGGGTGGAGGTGTCAAAGAAAAAACGTGATTTTTTAATCGGGTCTATTATCCTCTTTTCTTTTCCCTCTCTCTCTCTCCATTTGAACTGGGTCTTTAAAAATGACTAGGAGTTTGCCAGTCAGAAAAGCAAGAAGGCCATTTTGGGTAGAGAAAGCAGCTTGAGCAAACGTGATGTTTGCAACAGAGTGTGGTGTTCTGTGAGCGGATAGCAAAGTGTATGCATTCATGTGTTTATTTGTTCAACAGATACCTGTTGGGTTTCAGCTATATGTCACACTGCTGAGTGTTAGGGATTCAAAGACAAATAGGACACAGTTCCTGCCCTCAGGGAATTTGTAACTTACAACATTTAAACAGATAGTAAATACAATTTGGCAGGTAGATGAATAAAGTTTTTATAAAATATAGGAATACAGAAGATGTTCACTTAAGTGTTGGGGTTGGGGTTACATTATGGAAAAAGCTTCCTGGAAGTCATGGAAAGGATTGGCAAGAGATGACGCTGGAAGGTAGGTTTAGGCCAGGGTATAAAGGGTTTAGTGATGTAGAGAACTGGTTACAGAGTCGGAATGCTTGGGCTCAAATCCTGGCTCTGCTACTTCCTAGCTCTGTAAACCTGAGCAAGTTTCTTAACCTTTCTGTGCTTCATAATAGTCCTTTTCTCACTGAAGAGTTGAGAGAATTTAACAAGGTGATGTGTGAGAAGTCCCTAGAACAGTGTCAGTTAAAGCCATTATACCAGTTCTGTGTGCCCTATTTGGACTTAGTAGCTCTATTGGTACATTTTTCAGAAACTGTCACGCTGATTCTAACAGGGAAAATAGAAGGTTTTCTTAAGTTGAAAGGGAAGAGGAGAGCTAAATTTCAGTGACTTCCTTTAAATCCTTCTTGGTCTGTACTGAAGGATATAGGCAGGAGCAGTGAGGAAAACCATGTTCTTAAGCTTTCGGTAGTGTCTTCTTTAGAGCTGGGGGCAAAGTAGAGGAAGATCATGGTTGGGGGGTATTAGTCACAGAGAGCTTAGAATCTTTTACTAAACCAGCCTGTATTTTCAAGTAATTGATTATTTTCTTTCTGACATAAGACTGCAGAAACCCCAGCTGTCCTCTTCTAAAATAGCGCAGATAAATCTCTTTAATAAATCATCCTGAAAACAATGGTGAGATACTTTTTTTTTTTTTTTGGTCTAATAAATTAGCAACCAAAAAAAAAAGTGAGGGTCCGATGTTAATATTGTCAGGGATTGGAAGAAACAGGTATGCTCAGACACTGCTGGTGGCATTGAAAATCAGTTCAAACCCTAGTGCTCATTCTGTTACTATGTGACAAGTGTTTCAGTTTCCTCATCTGGAAATGAGGGGATTAGACTAGTTAAGCAGTTCAAGGTGACTGAATCATGCTTAGTCAGAGTCACCTGGATGGTACATGCCACTTCTACCCCTTTTCCCATAATATATCAGAAAGATAAGTGGTCTATTGTTTAAGAAGTTTCCCCTGGAGATCCTGATTATCTACTATAATATCCTCCCAAAAAATCTTGTGAGATTTTTCACTTTAGAAAGATAATTTTTGTAGCATTGGTGAAAATGAATTGCAGAAAGCACCATTAAGAAACTAGCTTAATAGTCCACGCAAAAGGTGATGAAGGCCTGGAAAAGACAAATTCTAAAGACAGTTCAACAGTGTTTGGTGAGCAAAAGATTATGACGAGTAAGAGAAAAGCCTAAGGATTATCCACAGATTTCTAAGTGGCAGTTAGGATAATACTGAGGCTTTTAATGGAAATAAGAATTGAAGGTGGAGAGGAATGAGCAGGGAATATCTTTACTGTCATTTGAGACATACTGTGTTTGAAGTGCCTGTGGGGAATCCAGGTGGAGATATCCAGCATGCCGTTGGAAATATGCAACTAAGCTTGGGAGCAAAGTTAGGGCTAAAGAGACAGATGTGACAGTTACACAAGTTACACATAAAGGTCATGGTTAAGCAGTGGAAATGGGTGTGATTTTTTAAATGTAAAACAGAGAAGGTGGCCATAGGCTCTAGGAAGGATCAGCATTGGTTGGGTAAAGAAAATAGAGCAGCAAAGGGCACAGAGCAGCCAGAGATAGGAGGAGAAACAAAAGAAATACTGTTAGACGCCATGTCAAATACGAGATGTAATTGAAACTAAGAAACTAGTTTTGTTAGAGTGGTATAAGCAAAAGCGAGATTGCAGTGAGAGGACAGCACATATTGAGTCCTTTATCAGAGGTTTAATTGTGAAGGAAAGGACAGCTGTGGCGGAGGGAAGTGTGTATAGGCAGCATAGCTTGAATGGAAGGTAGAGTTGGTAAAATGTTTGTTGTTTTTTCTTAAGTGTCTGGAAGTGTTGAATATGTTTTCAGGTCAGGAGGAAGAAACAAGTGCAGAGGGAAACTTGAAGATACAGGAGAAGGAAGATTATTAATGGAGGAAGACTTCAGAGGCTGTGTCAGAGAAATGGGATCTAGTTTGGGTACATAATTAGCCTTGGTGGAAAGAAGTAGTACTACTTCTGAAACCAAGAGGGAAGGATGGCGTAAAGATTTAGAGAAGTTTAAAGAGATAGGGGAGAGAGTTGAAATTGTTCACTGGATCGTTTGATCAGCTCAGTTTTCTCATTGACCTAGAAGGGAATAAGAGCAAAACTGAGAATGTGAGATGAATGGTGAAGGTATAGAACAGTAGCTGGAAGGTTAGATAAGACTGAATATTTACAAGATAGCAAAAGGATGTTAGCAAGTAAGGTGCCAATGAAGCAGTTGTGGCGATTGACTGGGAGGTTCAGGTTGAGAAAGAAGAGGAAGGAAATAGGAAGCACCCAAATACTGAAAGACTGGGATTCTAAGGACAGTTCAAATTTGATGGAAATGAAAGAATAGGAAAGGATGAAGGACAGAAAGTTCTGGTCATGGAGGGTGTCTTAGTCATTTAGTGCTGCTGTAACAGAAATACCACAAGTGGATGTTGTCTTTAACAAAGAGAAATTTATCCTCTCACAGTCCAGTAGGCTACAAGTCCAAATTCAGGTTGTCAGCTCCAGGTAAAGGCTTTCTCTCTCTGTCCGCCTTCTTATGAATCTTCCCCCAGACTAAGTTTCTCTGCACAGGGTCCCTGGGTCTAAAGGATGCATTCTGCTCCCGGCATTGCTTTCTTGGTGGTATGAGGTCCCCAACTCTCTGCTTGCTTCCCTTTCTTTTTATCTCTTGTAAGATAAAAGGGGATGCAGGCCACACCCCAGGGAAACTCCCATTATTATATAGGATCAGGGACATGACCTTAGTAAGGGTGTTACAATCCCACCCTAATCCTCTTTAACATAAAATTACAATTGCAAAATGGAGGACAGCCACTCAGTACTGGGAATCATGGCCCAGCCGAATTGATACACATATTTTTTGGGGGACATAATTCAATCCATGACAGAGGGAAATATTTTCATTCAGAAATGTGAAGGACACAATTCCCAAACCTTTAAAAATCATTGAAAAAATAAATATCTGCTATAGGATTTTGAAGATTTTTATCATAAACAGCCTTCAGGCTTTATTCTGTCCTGAGCGAGTAGTTTTGCTTTCACCAGGGCTCATTAATATCCCTTGCGGGCAAGAAAAAAGAAAATACCAATGCTTAGTTGTGGCACCCAAACTACACACTGCACAGAGAGCAGACAGAAAGCAGTGCTGTAGGACGGGATTGCTGAGAGAAATGCTAGCCTTTACATAAAGCACTTAGCCATGACAGAATGTGAGCAAACTGCTGTGTAGACACATTAACCAGGGGAGAAGGTAGCCAGCCCATCTATCCATCATCCTCAAGCTAATCCCTGGAGGGGGCAGGGAGTGGAGTGTCTCTGTTTGCAGTAAGAACCAATAATTCAGGTCATGCTTACTTGAAAACTTGCTTTTGGATAATTGGATAAAGATTGAAAGTTAGGTTAAGTGCAAGCATATTTCCTGCATTCTTCAGGGTGCATGGGGAAGCTCCATTGCTACTTAGCCTTCTTGGCTTCCTTATGGACAAGTCAAGTTTAAGAAGAGAACAGCCTACTCCCCTTCAGCGAACCCTCAGTATTTTCAGCTTGCAGACTCTCTGGGAACATGGTAAATATGCTTTTGGCCTTATACTATTCACAGTGTTCAAGAGTACAGTTTTTGGAATCTTTGTTACTGGTCCATGGGACAAAAGGGAGTGCTGAGTAGTACTGTTTTAGTACTTGACTATGAATATATAGGGTTGGCCAGTCCTACTTACACCTAATTTTATAGCAGTTGTTGCCACATTCCTTCCAGAAAATACAAAGGCAGAAATTGAAACTGAGGTATCAGAAACGGATGTGAAGTAAGAGATGGAATCTTGTGCCTGGGTGGGTCTAGCACATGTCCAAAATATGTTGTTGTTAGGTCCGTCGAGTCGGTTCCGACTCATAGTAACCCTGTGTACAGTGTAACGAAACACTGCCCAGTCCTGCGTCATCCTCATGTTCACTGTTAGTTTTGAGCCCATTGTTGCAGTCCACTACATCAGTCCATCTCAGGTCTTCCTCTTTTTTGCTGACCTTCTGCTTTCCCAAGCATGATGTCCTTCTCCAGGGACTGGTCCCTCCTGATAACATGTCCAAAATACATGAAACGAAGTCTCTCCATTCTTGCTTCTAAGGAGCAATTCTTCCAAGACAGATTTGTTCATTCTTCTGGCAGCCCACAGTATATTCAGTATTCTTCACCAACACCATAATTCAGAGACATCAATTCTTCCGTCTTCCTTAATCATTGTCCAGCTTTTGCATGCATAAGGGGCGACTGAAAGTAGCATGGCTTGGGTCTGGTGCACTTTAGTCCTCAGGGTGACATCTTTGCTTTTTAACACTTTAAGGAGTTCTTTTGCAGCAGATTTGCCAAATGTAATAAGGCATTTAATTTCTTGATTGCTGCTTCCATAGGTGTGGTTGTGGGTCCGAGTAAAATGAAATCCTTGGCAGTTGTTCAGATCAGCTAGTTTGCAGTCATTAGCCAAGCCCTACACATCTTTTCCTCTAGATTATTAACTGTTGTGTCTCTCCTGTTGTGTCAGGCAAGACCACCCAGGATCACCCCTGGGTTCAGTGATTCTCTAGGACTACTCACAAGACTCAGCATGTAGTTTCACTTACAGCTAAAATTTATTATAGAGGAAAGATACAAAGTAGAATCAGCTAGGGGAAAAGGCACATGAGATGAAGTCCAGGGGAAACCAGGAGCAAGCTTCCAAGAGTCTTCTTCCAGTGGACTCACACAGGATGGCTTATTCCCCTAGCAGGGAAGCTCATTAAAGATCTAGTGCCCAGGTTTTTACTGGGTGCTGGTCACATAGGCAGCCTCTGCCTGACATGTATCAAAATTCCAGGCTCCCAGAAGGAAGGCAGGTTTTGCTTGTACAAATAGTTTAGACATAATTCTTGTCAATTCTGGGAATCAAATGGGAACCCTCTTGGAATCCGAGTTCCAGATGCTAGCCAAGGGCCAGCTTTCAAGCAGCCTTTTCAAAGGATAACAGACCTGCTAAGTCTCTTTTGTGCACACCTGTCAAATAAATCAGTGTTCAATTCCTTTTAGCTACTGGACTTGATGTATGTCTGTGTCACAGTTTTCCCAGAATGTAAACTTTGTGAGGACAGATGGCATCTGTTCTATCATTTTTTTGTCAGACATCAAGATGGTGCCACTTAGAGTGTGGACCTCCAATAAATCCCTTGTGTTTGCTCATGCTGTGTGCCCATATTGCCTACTGCATCACTCCCTGCTTAAAGCTGGCTGTTCTTCAATGCCAAGCTCAACTCCCAGCTCTGCCGTGAAACCATAGCTGATTAGACAGTTGACGTGAGTTCTCCTTGTTTTGAACTGTAGTAGCCCTCAAAGTCTGGATTTTATACTGCTTTCAATTGTTCCCTCATTTTTTTTTATGCATATGTGTCATCTCCTGTTAGACTCCTTAAAGGCAAGGATGGGAAGCCATCATCATTGCACACATAGTGATAACTGTGATTAACCATACCCCACCTTTAGCAAGCCAAATTGAAGACGCTCTATTAGCCAAATTTCCAATTACCTGTAGTACTCTTGGTCCCATTTCCCATGGACAGGTAAGACATTTCTGTGCCATTCTTGTTTTGTCGTTACTGATGTTTTGGAGACTTGCCATTTAAAGTTGATCCCATTCAGCAATGAGTCTAGAGCCAAGGACTAGAAATTAGAAACGCTAACATATTTTTACTATTATTCACGGTCAACTCATTTTTATCTGTTCTCATTTCCCCTACCATGGTCTTGGCTAACAGCTTATATCATGGAATACTTAATTCAGACTCAGAAGTCCATAAAAATGGCTGTTGTTACCATTTGAAATGAATAATTCCTCTTTTGTCACCACTTTGCAGGCATAAAGAAGTGAATAAACGGAGACCCCGAAGTTTATTAGAGAAACTGCGCTGGGTGACCTTAGGCTACCATTATAACTGGGACACTAAGGTATTCATATTTTCTTGGTAGTTTTGTTGTTTTCCATTTATATGCTTCTTGGGCCTTCATGATTGGGCTTCTTCCTGGCCAAGCTTCAACTATCAGATTATCCACTTATAGGAGGGTCTGGTTCATTTATTCCTCCCTGAACATTCTCTTAAGGCACCCTGGGTGGTGTAAATGGTTTGCATTAGAATACTAACTAACCTGAATATTAGCAATTTGAACCTAACCAGCAGTGCTGAGGAAGAAAGGCCTGGTGATCTGCTTCCATACAGATTACACCCAAGAAAATCCTATGAAGCAGTTCTACCCTGTAACACATGGGGTTGCCATGAGTCAGAATTGACTCGATAGCAGTGTTTTTGTTTTTTTTAATCCTCTCTTGAGGTTCCTCAAAAGAAATGAATAAATTATCAAGAGAATATTTCTTCTCCATATGCCTGAGGTTATTGTTATAGATCAAATTGTGTCCCCCAGAAATAAGCGCTGTAAATTCTAACTTCTGTGCCTGTGGTTATAATCCCATTTGGGAAGGGTTATCTTTGTTATGTTAATAAGACAGGATTAGTGTATGGTGTGTCTTGGCTCAGTCTCTTTTGAGATATAAAAGAGATTAAACAAGTAAGCTAGAGAAGCAGAGATGGGGAAAGAGAGATGCCAAGCTACATGAAAATTGCTTAGGAGCAGAAGCTCAGAAGAAAAGACAAGGACCTTTCTCCAGAGCCACCAGCGAGAGAAAGCCTTCCCTAGAGCCAGAACCCTGAATTTGGACTTCTAGCCTCCTAAATTGTGAGAAAATAAATTTCTGTTTGTTAAAGCCACCCACTTGTGGTATTTCTGTTATAGCAGCACTAGATAACTAAGACAGAAAGAGTGGGGTGCTGCTCTAACAGATACCTAAAATGTGGAAGAGGAGGTTTTGGAATTGGTTAATTGGTAGAGGCCGGAAGAGTTTTAAGGTGCCTAATAGTAAAAGCCTAGATTACCTTGAAAAGACTGTTAGTGGAATTAATGGATGGACATCGAAGGCAATTCTGGTGAGGGCTCAGAAGGAAGTGAGGAGAACTATAGAGAAAGTCTCTGTTGTCTTAAAGAATACATATGGTGCCAGCAACAGAATGTTTCTAGAAATGTAGATGTTACATATGCTTCTGGTGAGGCTTTAAAAGACAAGGATGAACATGTGATCGGACAGTGGAGGAAAGGTGATGCCTTTTATGCAGTGGCAAAGAACTTGTCTGAATTATGTTCAAATGTTTGGTGGAAGGTAGAACTTACAAGTGACGAACTTGGGTATCTGGCTGATGAGATTTCTAAGCAGGATCTTAAAAGGGCCACATGGTTTCTCCTTGCTGCTTATGGTAAAATGTGAGAGGAAAGATATGGACTTAAAAATGAACTGTACAAGAGGAAAACAGAATTGAATGATCTGGAAAACTCTGTTGTACAAACACATGTCCTAGAATGTTGGCCAAGGCCTTGGCTACACAATCTTTTCATAAAGAGATTAAGCCTGTGACGGAGATTGGTTACAACTGCTGTTGTTAGGTGGCATCGAGTTTGTTCCGACTCACAGTGACCCTGTGTACAACAGAAAGAAACACTGCCCTGGTCCTGTGCCACCCTCACAATCTTTGTTATGCTTGAGCCCATTGTTGCAACCACGGTGTCAGTCTATCTTGTTGAAGGTCTTTGTCTTTTTCACTAACCCTCCAGTTTACCAAGCATGATATCCTTCTCTAGGGACTGGTCCCTCCTGATAACATGTCCAAAGTACGTAAGACAAAGTCTTGCCATCCTTGCTTCTAAGGAGCATTCTGGCTGTACTTCTTCCAAGACAGATTTGTTCGTTTTCTTCTGACAGCCCATGGTATATTCGATACTCTTCACCAACACCTTAATTCAAAGGCATCAATTCTTCTTTGATCTTTCTTATTCATTGTCCAGTTTTTGCATGCATAAGAGGCAGTTGAAAACACCATGACTTGGGTCAGACACACCTTAGTTCTGAAAGTGACATCCTTGCTCTTCAACACTTAAAAGAGGTCTTTTGCAGCAGATTTGCCCAACGCAGTAGGTTGTTTAAAAATACTTGACTGCTGCTTCCACGGGTGTTGATTGTAGATCTAAGTAAAACGAAATCCTTGACAACTTCAGTCTTTTCTCCATTTATCGCGATGTTGCTTATTGGTCCAGTTGTTAGCATTGTTTTCTTTATGTTCAGTATGCAGTCCATACTGAAGGCTATATAGTCTTTGATCTTCGTCAGTAAGTACTTCAAGCCCTCTTCATATTCAGCAAGCAAGGTTGTGTCATCTGCATATCGAAGGTTGTTAATGTGTCTTCCTGCAGTCGTGTTGCCATGTTCTTCTTCAGATAGTCCAGCTTCTCTGATTAAGGAAAATGGGGAATGAAAAACACTGAATGAGTAATCAGAAAAATGAAAGAAAATTAAGAAAAATGAAAGAGAATTAGTACAGGGTTATCCAGTTTGGATAGAGTGTGAAAGCCTGAAGAGATTATAGCAGAGGTGACCTAGAGCTAGAACAGCAGCCCTGAGTGGTTGGTCTTTTGAAGGACTGAAGATTAAAATCATGGGAGAAACCTTAAAGTTCTCTAACTATATCCTTATTAAATAGGAACTCTTCATATTTGCAGTTCCGTAAAAGGAGAGAGGAGCCTTGGTGGTGTAGTGGTTAAGAGCTCGGCTACTAACCAACAGGTCAGCAGTTCAAATCCGTCAGACACTCCTTGGAAACCCTATGGGGCAGTTGTGCTCTGTCCTACGGGGTCGCTATGAGTCGGAACTGTCTGAGGACACGGAACAACAACAACAGAAGGAGAGGGGAAAAGCAGAGAGGCTCTGTCAGAGACTTTTGTGACTTTTCCTTACACCTGATGTTAAAGGTCACGTCTGGCCAAAGTAGATACGTTCTGTCAAAGCTGTGACTCTGTTGCTTCAGCTGCATGCATCAGAACACAGTGGGTTTCTGAGACAAAAGTGGGTTTCCTCATCAGATTTGAGGTTGAGTTAGCAAAGAAGGAAGTATGAGAGAGGGGGAGCATCAAGACAGAGGAGCCATCTGCCAGGCAGCTGCAGGCCCTCACGCTCACCTGTGCATAAGACACTGTACTCCAAATCCGAATCCCAGCTACAGTCTTCTCATCCTCAAGAACTGTCAGTCCTCTAGAGAGAGGGAATTTGTGATTTTTTTTAGAGAAAAAAGCATGTTTGTGATTCTTAAGTGCTAAAGACAGGATTTTCAGGTGCCATTTCAGAAAAGGTCAGGGAAGGAAGTGCTGAAAATTACTTCCATCTTAAGGTCGTGCCCTGGCCGTAGTGAAGTCAAGGTTTCGATTCAGATGTTTTGAGCATGTCAGCCCAGCAGGTTGACCAGTGAAACCAACAGCACTAAGCCATTTTGCAGGCTGAGAGGTCAAAAACCAAATTGACCATGGTGTTTGAGTTGCCCCCTCCCTTTTTTTTTTTTTAAATAAACGTTTTATTTGAGAATAGTTTTAGATTTACAGAAAAGTTGAAAAGATAGTACAGAGAGTTCCTATACACCCTCTCACCCAGTTTTCCCTCTTAACATATTATATTGATACCTTTGTCTTAATGAACCACTATTGATACATTGTTACGAAAGTCCATGTTTTATTCATATTTCCTTAGTTTTTACCTAATGTCTGTCTTTTGTACCAGATTTCCATCTAGGATGCCACGTTACATTTAATAGTCATCTCCTTAGGCACCTCTTGGCAGTGAAAGTTTTGAGTTGTATTTTTACCCTCAGAAAACTGTTTTGTTTGGGATTAAAGTATGCTAGAGAGTGGTATAGTAATTGCTTCATGTGTAGACCATGGAGGGTGGATTTGGCTAATGTATTACTGCATAGCACAGTGCCTGCCATGTAGTAGATGCTCAGTAGTTTTGAATGGCTCATTATTAGATTACTGAGTGCTTCAAGAATGGATGGATAGCTAATTCTCTTTTAATATTACATGTAAGTTAGATAATTTTAAAGTGGTAAGTAATATTATGCCACGGTTTCCTGTGTTCCTGAGATCATTATTTGTTTTTCTTATTTTCCCTACATTTACCAAAGAAATATTCAGCAGATCATTACACACCTTTTCCTTCTGACCTGGCTTTCCTCTCAGAGCAAGTGGCCACTGCCTGTGGATTTCAGGGCTTCCAAGCTGAAGCAGGTATCCTGAATTACTACCACTTAGACTCCACACTGGGAATCCATGTAGACAAATCTGAACTAGATCACTCCAAACCCCTCCTGTCATTCAGGTAAGTTAGTTCCAGGGATTTTGGATTGCCTTTTTAATATTGCCTTCCTTTTTCTAAAGCACATCAAAGCTAAATAAGTAAATAATTAAAATGTTTAATTGATTGATTAAAATGACCAAAAAAGGCATTCAGCTTTAAAAAATGGTTGGACCTTATAATCCTTCACTTCTGGACACCTTAACACTATAACATAAATAAAATTAGCCTAGTCCTTTAAGAGCAATGATGAGATTATAGTTAATATTTCTGCTTAAGATTTATCAAGTCTACCTTTTGTAATAAGCAGTGTTGTCAGTGCTGTGTGGAATAGACAAGTGGAGGGCCATATAGCAGTGTGACCAACCTTTTTGGAACAGAGAAGAGAGAGCACAGAAGCCTAAATAGCTTACTACCCGTGACTCCCTGCACATCATTTTAAATTTGTTTAAAGTACTGCACCTGTATCCCACCATGAAAGTACCTACGTAGAGTTTTATATTAATGTCTTTATCTTTAAAGTAAACAGGAATGATAAATACAGTAAAGTATTCAAATCAGTCTATTGGAAGACTTAAAGATGCATCAGTAAAATGTGTATGGATATTGTTAATACTCAACTTTTAGTTTCCTTATTCGGCTACTTTTTAATAAGTAAATTTTATTTTGAAGCTGTTTTATAGGCTGTCATAAGTGTAGGTAGTGGATCATGGACTGGTCACTCAGACACAAACCAAGAGAAGGATCTTAGCACAGTTTATAAAGGAGGATTTGGGAGCAATAAGTATTGAACTGAAGTTAAAAAATAATGCAGTTGGTGTGATCTTCCCAACCAGGGTTTGAAACCAAAACTTACTGTTGTTGTTGTTTTGTTTTTTTTTTTTTGTAGCTTTGGACAGTCTGCCATCTTTCTTCTGGGTGGCCTCAAAAGAGATGAAGCCCCCACAGCCATGTTTATGCATAGTGGTGACATCATGGTAATGTCAGGTTTCAGCCGCCTTTTGAACCATGCAGTCCCTCGGGTTCTTCCAAATCCTAAGGCGGAAAGCCTTCCTCGCTGCCTAGAGACACCTCTCCCAGCTGTCCTCCCCAGAGATGCAGTGGTAGAGCCCTGTTCTGTGGAAGACTGGCAAGTATGTGCCAGCTACCTGAAAACTGCTCGTGTTAACATGACTGTCCGACAGGTGCTGGCCACAGACCAGGACTTCCCTTTAGAACCTGTGGAGGAGAAAAAAAGAGACATCACCACGGAAGGTTTCAGCCATCTGGATGACAAAAATAGCCAAGTAAAACGGGCCAGATTAAACCCTGACAGCTGAGGCTTGGAGATGTCATTCTTTTACTAAGTCGATCTGTTTTGTATTACAGTGGACTTTAGCACCAAGACAAGCCAAAAACAGACAGGGAAAAGCTCGTGTTTGATCACACTGTTGCCTTGGAGCTCATCCTGAAGACTAAATTGATGAACCACTTTGCCCAGAGAGGTATTTGACATGGTCTGCATGGTCCAGTCTAGTTAAGTGTTGACATTTCAGTCTCTGCCCTACCTCTAAGAGGTAGAAGTGACTTTCCATGTCTGTGGAGCCTAAATACCTCAGATTTACATAGTATGTTAATGGAAACATAGAATCCCTCCCCCCATTGCCTCTGGTGACTTGTGGTAAAATTGTGGTTCCGTGAACCAGCCATTAGTCTCACATTCTTAACTGCTCAAGTCATTCTTTGATCTTCTCTTCAGTCTTTTCTGACCCTCAGAGAAGAGTCCTGTGCACATGCAGACAATGGAACTGGAAATCTCATCCCCTAGAAAAGAAATTAGTCAAACTGTCTTTCTTGCCTGAAAGGTAAATTGTATGTAATCCAAGGCAAGGGGAACTCTGTTTTCTTCACATGTCTTTTAGGACTCCAAACTCCCCCTCTTGGCTTTTTAATGCAGTTTTAATTGTTGCACTAAAAAGTCCCAAGGGTGTTCTGTCACTGTTTTCTCCATGAATAAACTTACTGGATTTTGAGTTAAAGATCTTTATCTATCTTTGTGGGTTAGTATATCTGGGATTTGGTTTTGGTTGTTTTTTTTGTTTTTTTTTTCCCCTTTTTCCTGTTTTTATTTGCTCTATTGTTCCTGCTGTTGAAACCCTCTAGCTGTTTCCACCCTACACCGTCCTGCTCTGCCCTAAGTATTCTTTGTGGCTGTCTCACAGGAGAGAGTATTCCTTGGTACTCTATTCACTACTGTCATTTCTAATAGTAAACGGCTTAGAAAATGCATGCAACGCCAAGTATTAATCTTTGTAATCCCATCGCCTCAGCTCACTGTACCTGAGTCAAGTTACTTCCTATTGCTCTGGACCTTGGCATTCTCATTCATAAAATGAGGATAATATTTGCTGCCATCTTCCTAAAAGGGTGGTGGTATTTAAAATGATAGTGGGGCTTTAGAGTTCCCGCCTAGAAACGTGATGTGCCAGTGTTTTACTGTCGTTAGTCTCTTAGAAACATCCTGGCTTACTTCTTTGTGTCGAGAGCTGGCTGGAAGCCACTCTGATATCTGCCATTTGCAGCATGTCTCGCTGAATTTGCTCCTCTCCTATGCCTGGCTTTTTTTTTTTCCTTACCAGCATTGAATATTGAGTTCATATGCTTATCTTCATTAGATTTTGTTTTCTTTTTTAAGGAATAAAAGTTAATATAGATTCATCCCTTTTTTGTAAGCTAGGTTCTAAAGTTAGTGCATGATAGGAGAATTTTATATAATTAAAACTACCACTGGAAAATTCCTTCGGTTTTCTCCAAAGTACGTTACACGTGACCCATTGCAAACCAACATACCGTAGCTTAATAAACCCAGCAGTCAGTTTATTCTTCAGCATTAGAACGGATTGGTGTTTATTCAGTTGAATATCAGATAAAGATGTTGACTGTGTTTAGGGACCATGTTGTACCAGAAGATACGTATTTAAACTGTAGACCCATACACTCCGCGAAGCGAGATGTGTATGCTGCGGGAGGCATGTAGAAACCGAGGCCCACTGTCCCAGGCTCACTCTAGGGTTTGTGCTTACTGAGTGCAGTGATGAGCAGATAGGACGTTTGCACAATTTACTTCTCTCTTATTCTTATTTTTTATTTATGTTTGTTCTTGCAAAGCACATATCGTTGAAAGTGTATATGTTAACAACTGTACTTACTTGTCTTTGACATTAAGAAGAAAATAATGCAATTTGGGGAAGAGGGAAAAAATTAGTGTTTTTTCTGCACTTAAATGAGAGTGATCACCTAGGCTTGTTTTAGTACCAGACTTTTTTTAAATCAGGTTTAGCAAACTATGGCCCGCCTCCTGTTTTCGTACTGCCCACAAGCTAAGAATAGTTTTTATGTTTCTAAATGGTTGGGGCAAAAAAATTAAAATAAGAATAGTTTTGTGACTCATGAAATTTATATGAAATTCAAATTTCAGTATCTGTAAGTAAAGTTTTATTGGAACACAGCCAGACTCATTCATTTAGATATTACCTGTGACTGCTTTTGTGCTACAATGGCAGAGTAGAGTAGTTGCAGCAGAGACCGTATGACCCACAAAACCTAAAATGTATGATCTGGCCCTTTATAGAACAAGTTTGCTGACACCTAGAAAGAAAGCTAGACACCCAGCCCCCCACCTCCCCACCCCCAGGAAGGAACCTGAAACCCAGAGAAGGGACCAAGAGGAATATTTTTTTTTTGTTAAGAATTTCATTATTATTATTATTTTTGTTTACCAAAGGAAGAAATAAAAATGCTGAAGTAGATACTTAATATGACCTAGGATGTGTGTGTGTGTGTTGGGGGGGTAGGGGGGGTTCTGTGGTGTCAGGAGTGAAGTCACAAATATTCAAATGTTAGGCCTGGGAAATTGGCATTCTAACGCTCTGCTAGTGGGAATGCAACTGCTATAATGTATAGGGGACAGTTTGGTACCATGTAAAGTATACTTACTTCATCCCTGTTTGATAAGGCCAGCCTTGGACTATCTTCTTTTCCTCTCAGAAGTGATCTGGTTTGATGATAGATTACATGGTCACCCGAATTATGTTTTAAAATGTCTACCACTTCCTGGGGAAGCCAGCACAACTTGTACAAGGAAAGGTCATGGAAGCTCCATAGACACATCCAAACTCCCTGAGAGATTGAATTGCTGGGCGGAGGGATGTGGGGACCATGGTCTCCATGAACATCTAGCTCAACTGGCATAACACGGTTTCTAAAATGTTCTACATTCTACCTTGGTGAGTAGCCATCTAAGATACTCCACTGGTCTCATCCCTTCGGGAGCAAGGGAGAATGAAGAAAAAAAGATACAAGGAAAGATTAGTCTAAAGGACTAATGGACCACAATTACCATGGCCTCCACCAGGTTGAGTCCAGTACAACTAGATGGTACCCAGCTACCACCACTGACT